TAGATCTCGGTGGTCCGTGATGGCGGCTGGAAAATGATCGCAGCGCCTCTTTAGTCTGGTGTCCGTGACTGACTGAGAATCTCGAGACTTATATGCCCTTGCGACAATAGGTATGTCTCGAGTCACACAGCGACAAATGTTGTGGTGTGACAGGAAGAGAAGAGAGGAGGTTGAAAAAAAAAGACGTTGGGCGGGGAGGGGAAGAGAAGCATCGGCCATTAATTTCAATTAAGGTAGCGGGGGGAGAAACACTTGCGCCATCGGCTGGTTGTCATTGGCGGACAGCCAGTACATAATGGATGACGGGTTGGATTGGAAGCCCCCAAAGCATATTTCCCTGATCATGGTAAGGGCGCATCTGCTCTCAAGGTATAGGCTAAGAGCCATATCTGATCTATTTGCATCTTGCGAGCACGAACATCAAACAAGTCATGCACCACAGCTGGGGTAGCACGAGCAGTGTTTCTTTCGCGATTACCCAATTACCCCAGTGACAGTACCGAAACAGAGCGAATACGCGCTAAGACGGCGTAATTCTGTGGCAGGCTGGCTAAGCCAAATCGGGCAGGCGGGACCTTACCCGCGGGCCCCAAAGAAGCAGCGGCCGCGGAAGAGAGAGGAAGAGGCCACCTGGAACTTCCCAGCTTCATGCAGCTTCTTATATAACCAACCTTCCAGCTGCTCCTCTCCCCTTCCATTTCCCCATTTTCCCCCATTCTTCTGTCTTTACATACCCTCCATCTCCCACCCTCCCCATCCCTGCTTGTCGCCCCCCATTGTATCGCGACTTCTTTGAGATATTCTCCTCTACCCTCACTCGGCCCATCGACGTTAATTCGCGGGTGCGCTCGTGTTTGTTTTCGTTCTTCCCTACTCGATTCTCTCCCAGGTGTTCTAGCCTCCAGAGCGCCAATCCCCACTCACAATGCGTTTCAACGCTGCCTTGACTTCCGCTCTGGTCTCCTCGGCCTCCATCATGGGCATGGCCCATGCTGACGAGACCGAGAAGAAGCCCGAGACTACTTCCATTGCGGAGAAGCCTACTTTCACCGTATGTTGATCTCGCCCGGTTCTTTCTGACCACAGTCGCAGAATGCTGACTCCGCACCAATAGCCTACCACGCTCAAAGCTCCTTTCTTGGAGCAGTTCACCGATGATTGGGACAGCCGGTGGACTCCATCCCACGCCAAGAAGGAGGATTCCAAGTCTGAGGAGGACTGGGCCTATGTTGGCGAATGGTCTGTCGAAGAGCCGACTGTGCTGAAGGGAATCGAGGGAGACAAGGGTCTCGTCGTTAAGAATGTTGCTGCCCACCACGCCATCTCCTCCAAGTTCCCCAAGAAGATCGACAACAAGGACAAGACCCTGGTTGTCCAGTATGAGGTCAAGCCGCAAAGTACGTCCTGTTCATCACATATATACGACCAACTCGAAGGGTCGCTGACCATTTGCTTTTAGACTCCCTGGTTTGTGGTGGTGCCTACCTGAAGCTTCTCCAGGACAACAAGAAGCTCCAGTCTGAGGAGTTCTCCAACGCCTCTCCTTACGTTATCATGTTTGGTCCCGACAAGTGCGGTGCCACCAACAAGGTACGTTGGCCTTCTGTAACAATCGGCCTGTGTAGCAGCAACTGATTGTCTTCCAGGTGCACTTCATCTTCCGTCACAAGAACCCCAAGACCGGCGAGTACGAGGAAAAGCACCTGAAGGCTCCTCCTGCCGCTCGTACCAACAAGGTCACCTCCTTGTACACTCTGATTGTCCGCCCCGATCAGACTTTCTCCATCCTGATTGACGGTGAGGAGGCCAAGAGCGGTAACTTGCTCGAGGACTTCAGCCCTGCTGTCAACCCTGAGAAGGAGATCGATGACCCCAAGGACAAGAAGCCCGCCGACTGGGTCGACGAGTCCAAGATCGCTGACCCCGAGGCCACCAAGCCCGAGGATTGGGATGAGGACGCTCCTTACGAGATTGTCGATGAGGATGCCGAGAAGCCCGAGGATTGGCTTGAGGATGAGCCCACCAGCATCCCTGACCCCGAGGCCGAGAAGCCCGAGGACTGGGACGATGAGGAGGATGGCGACTGGGTTCCTCCCACTGTTCCCAACCCCAAGTGCCAGGAGGCTGCTGGCTGTGGTCCCTGGACTGCCCCCCTGATCAAGAACCCTGCCTACAAGGGCAAGTGGACTGCTCCTCTGGTCGACAACCCCGCCTACAAGGGTCCCTGGGCCCCCCGCAAGATTGCCAACCCCGCCTACTTCGAGGATAAGACTCCTTCCAACTTCGAGCCCATGGGCGCTGTAAGTTATCCCCAATCACCTCGGCTGTTGCGTGAACAGCCTGACTAATTCGTGAGACAGATTGGTTTCGAGATCTGGACTATGCAGAACGACATTCTCTTCGACAACATCTACATTGGTCACTCCGAAGAAGATGCCGAGCAGCTCCGCAAGGAGACTTTTGATATCAAGCACCCCATCGAATTGGCCGAGGAGGAGGCCAACAAGCCCAAGCCGGAGGAGCAGGTTGCCGAGCCCAGCGTCAGCTTCAAGGAGAACCCTGTGGCCCACGTCCGCGAGAAGGTTGATCGTTTCGTTGGCCTGGCCAAGCAGGATCCCATCGCTGCTGTGAAGCAGGTTCCTGACGTTGCTGGTGGTCTCGCCGCCGTGCTTGTTACCATGGTGCTCCTGATCGTGGGTGCTGTCGGTGCTAGCAGCCCGGCTCCCGCTCCGGTCAAGAAGGGCAAGGAGGCTGCCAGCGCTGCCAAGGAGAAGGCTGCCGAGGCTGTCAGCTCTGCTACCAACACTGGCAAGGGCGGCGCCACCAAGCGCCAGACTCGCTCCTCTGCCGAGTAAACGGGCCTGCCTTGTTGACTCTGGGGAGATGTTAGAGATGACGCGGCCCAAAAGTGAGCATTCTGTGGGGAGGGACAGCTTCCGACCCAGTATTTTGTTTTCTCTCGATTTCCATATTATACCTACCTGTTGCAGCGTTCAATCCACGATTTGTTCTTTTATTCCAAATATGTTGGTTGGCACACCCAGAAGAAAGGTTGTTGCTGCTCCCGCCTGTGATGCGATATGAACGCCACACTGAGAGACCTGCCTCGAATTGTTTTGAGACCTGTAAAGTAATTGATGAGTACCTGCTGGAAGAACATCAATCCTATGGGTTAATGATCGTCCTTAGCTTAGGTAATTGATTTCAAGTATCTTCCTGTGGTTGGAGTTGTGAGAAGTCTCAGAAATGAGATCGGGAGTTCAAATTTTAATCTCTTCCGACAATGGCATCTGCCCGCGGAAAAGAGGTGATACAGAATTCACTAGATGTTATAATTGCAAAGACTTCAGTCGGAACTTCCTGCCTACTGTAGTTTCAAGAACAATGAGAGCTCCCTCTAGGCCATTGTAGATACCTAGGTAGAAGGAACCGAATGAAGAGATTCTGCCAGCCTGGAGATGCAGAGAAGGCCAGATTGGCAAGTAGTTCCGGGGGGCATGATGATTGGTGGCCAACGCCGAGGAAGGGCGATAACCGCATTCATTATCAGTGATTGTTGTGATCCAGTGACCCAGTGACGGAGCATCGGCGGCCAGGAACGGCGAGCCAAACCTGGGGAAACTTACTCCAACTCATTATTAAGTACGTAGCTATCCCTCCTCTTCCTCCTGCAGCTTTTCCCCCTCCTTCTCCTCACGCGCTGAGCTGTCACACGTCTGTGCTGTCAAGGACCTAATTTTCTATAAATCAGTTCCTATTCACTTCCAAGTTTCCTTCTTCCCTTCTTCCCATGATGGCCGCCCATCGCTCTCTTGCCCGTTCTCTCCCCGCTCTCCGCGCTGCTGCTCCCCGCACGGCCCTCACCGTCCCCAGATTATCCGCCACCAGAACGCCTGCAGCTTTGACTTCACTCCCCAGACATCTTTCCACCGCTGTTATGGCTCCTTCTTCTCTTCTAGCATCTTCATCCCCTTCTGCCACTCGCAGTCTACATGTCACAGCCCAGCAACGGACTCCCGCAACCACCTCCGCGGCCTCTACCGCCACCGACTATCCTACCGATCACAGCCCTGTTGCGAACCCCATTGATACTACCAACTTTCTGGACAACGAGTTTGTACAATCTCAAGCAACCACATGGATTGACTTGCATGATCCAGCCACCAACAACCTTATCACTCGTGTGCCTCAGAGTACCGATGCGGAGCTGAAGGCTGCCGTTGAGTCCGCCCAGAAGGCCTTTCCCGCCTGGCGCGCGACCAGCGTGATTGCCAAACAGCAGATCATGTTCAAGTTTGTCAGCCTGATCCGGGCTCACTGGGATCGCCTGGCTGCCTCTATCACCCTTGAGCAGGGCAAGACCTTTGCCGATGCTAAGGGCGACGTTCTCCGTGGTCTTCAAGTTGCTGAAACCGCCTGTGGCATCACCACCCAATTGACAGGCGAGGTGCTCGAAGTCGCCAAGGATATGGAGACTCGAAGCTACCGCGAGCCTCTGGGTGTTGTGGCCGCCATCTGTCCCTTCAGTTAGTATATTCCCCGACCGGCGGTATTTGCCGAGGCTAACCGCGGGTTCCCAGACTTCCCCGCAATGATCCCCCTCTGGTCGATCCCCGTCGCCACCATCACCGGAAATTGCTTGATTCTCAAGCCCTCCGAGCGTGACCCTGGCGCAGCTATGATACTGGCCGAACTGGCTCGGGAAGCTGGTTTCCCGCCCGGTGTGGTCAACATCGTGCACGGCTCCGCCAAGACGGTTGATTTCATCCTCGATGAACCCTCCATCAAGGCTATCAGCTTCGTCGGCGGTAACCGTGCCGGTGAGTACATCTACACCCGCGGTTCTGCAAACGGCAAGCGTGTCCAGGCGAATCTGGGTGCGAAGAACCACGCCGCGGTCTTGCCAGACTGCAACAAGAACCAAACCCTCAATGCTATTGTTGGCGCTGCCTTCGGTGCTGCTGGTCAGCGCTGCATGGCCTTGAGCACAGTGGTGATGGTCGGCGAAACCCAGGAATGGCTGCCCGAGATCGCTGAGCGGGCCAAGGCATTGAACGTCAACGGTGGTTTCGAAGAGGGTGCGGATCTGGGCCCGGTCATTAGCCCTCAGAGCAAGAAGCGCATTGAGGATTTGATTGCCAGCGCTGAGGAAGAGGGTGCCACTATCCTATTGGATGGTCGTGGCTACAAGCCCGAGAAGTACCCCAACGGCAACTTTGTAAGTGGTCTCCGTAAGTGCTGCATGGAACTTTTACTCATGGACTCTCTCCTAGGTTGGACCTACTATCATCACCAACGTGACCCCGGAGATGAAGTGCTACACGGAGGAGATCTTCGGCCCTGTCCTGATCTGCCTGTCGGTGCCTACGCTCGATGACGCTATCGAGCTCATCAACAAGAACCCGTACGGTAACGGCGCGGCTGTCTTCACCCGCTCTGGCCCGACTGCCTCGCGCTTCCAGAAGGACATCGAGGCCGGTCAGGTCGGCATTAACGTGCCGATCCCTGTTCCGTTGCCCATGTTCTCCTTCACCGGTAACAAGAAGAGTATTGCCGGTGGCGGTGCCAACACCTTCTACGGCAAGCCTGGCTTGCAATTCTACACCCAGCAGAAGACCGTGACCAGTCTGTGGCGCAGCGAGGATGCGATCAGCACCAAGGCCCATGTTGTGATGCCCACACACTCGTAAGGTCGATGAAAACAAGGAAAAAATTGAATCGAATCAGAAATACCTTCAACGTTGCATCATGCCTATATGCGGTGTTTGCTTTCACGCTGGGTTGCAGAATTAGCCTTGTTAATATCATTGTTTTCTAAATTGAATCTCTGAGGAGGGAGTATCATGTCTGCATCTTAACGGCGGCTGTTGACCAGATTGCTGATGACGGAGGCGTCTGTGTACTGTAATCTTAGTTTCATTTGAGTGAACCGTATCGATTCCTCTGAACAGGTGCATGCATGAAGTTTGGTGTCAATAAGATTCAATTAGGTCTATAGAAGACGGCGAGTCTGGTCAAGTACTGAACGAGCGGGAAGTAATCATACTTTACAGTAGACCTGCCACATAAAGATGATAGGCACAGAGCACTCCTATCGATCATTCTCCCGCCCAGTCTACAGCGTAGCCCATTTCTTGATGGACGATAATTTACTCCTTCTTCGGACCCACATAACTATACACGAACCTGGCCATCTCGACGTGCTTATCCTTTGCAACGACTACGCGACGGGTGTAGTAGCGTTGCCCATCGATCACCTCAAAGCCCCAGATCTACCAGCACTTCAGTCAGCGTCTGCATCGATACGAGATACGCCCCACACCATCAATATCGATTAGTGAAAGGGGAGAAAATACGAACCTGCTCTGCCGTCCATCCGTTGTCCAGACTCTCCACAAAACTCTGGAACCAGAGACCCTCACCCTCGCCAAACTCCTGGCCCAGATCCTCAACCACGAATCCATCCACAGCCTTCCCATCCGCCAGGATCTCTCCGTTCAGGAACTGAGCCACCTTGGGATCCTCGCTCTTGGTCAGGAACGCGAAGTTGGGGCGGACTTTGCCGTCACTGCTGCTGCTACCGCGGATGTACCGCGATTGGCCCTGCACATGGCCGAAGATGTGGTCGGTGTGTTCGCGCTTCTTGCCGTCGCTGATGCGGTTCTCGCTGGTTCCCTTGATGCCACCCGTCAAGGTCTGGTCGATCTTGATGTGGATGATGGCAGAGTCCTCCGGATCTGGGTAAGTGTCGATGTGAAGGGTGATGGTGGCGAGGTTGAGGGTTTTACGCGTGAGCCAGCTCATTCCTTGCTGTGTAAGAAAATGGTTAGTCTTGGGGCTGGAGGGCGGGGAATGAGCTACCGAGGTAGAAGTGAGGATGTTCATACCAGTGACAGGATTGCGTCTGTAGGGTTGGACAGAGTTTTGTTCTGTAGAGGTTTCGTTAGTAATGGAAGGTTTCATCTAGCTAATGATGAAGCATCATATCATTTCCAGCGTACCATTGTCCATTCTCCGCTGAGATTCTTGATGGTGACTTCTGCGGGGGCGGCCATTTTCGGGGATGAGGGGTAAGATTTCACTCGAAATGAGGATAGGTTCTAAGATATGCTACCGAGGAGTAAGGATAGAGAAGAGGAGAAGAATTGATATATTCTCTCTGACAGCAGAACAGGTTTCGAGGAATAAGCGAGAGGGAACAGTGCAGGATTGAAGGAGCAAGTTGACGGGTGGGACAAGGACGCTTTAAAGGGTACTACATTTCGGTACTAAGTAGTGCTGAAGAGAGTCGGTCAATCGGCCCCTTCATGTGATCGTCGCTTCCCTGCAGCCTCGATTCAATGCCACTTCTCTCTAGTTGATTAAAATGGGGCAATTGCGGCCGAGGTTGGGGTGAGGAAAGTCCAGTCCGGGAAACATGTGTTGCGGAGTAATTCTAGCCGCCGAAGGAAGACGTTCTGATCACCCTTGCCTTTAGATAGTCAATAATGTCATGGATATTGTTTCGATTGCTGTTGATGTATGTACTGTAAGTTACCGTCATGTATCGTCGTATCGGACTGTATTGACCTTGACCCGCCCCTGGCACGTGAACAAACATTCCCCTTCACTTTCCTCTTGAGATACTTCATCTCCAGCCTTTCCCCGCAACAGTATATCAAGTTCCACACTCGCTCAGATAGCTGGACGCCATGTCTTTCAACCGGAAATACGCCGGTCTTCCTGACCTGGTCAGCATATCTCCATTGGCAGCAGTCCGGCCTGATTAAATTCTAACAACGACGTGCAGGATCTCGCTCCCGATATCTACGAGACTCCCGATCTGACCGACGGAGCTTCTACTATTCCGGTTCGCTGCCATGTCTATCGTCCGCGCGGGTGTCCTTCCCCATTCTGACAGCTTATCGGCGAACAGACCACAACTCTTCGCACCGCCTCCAACGTAGACGACGATGCTGGCGACAACTCTGATATCGATCGCCAAGGTATCAACGCCGACGAGGCGCGCGCCCACTTCCTCGGTGCCACCGTCGACGCCCGCGAAGCCAATTTCTCAGACAGCATAGCCGCGAAACGGAAAGCATACAGAAGCAAGAGCCGTCGGCGACGGAAACACGACTTTGGGGCCGACGAACTCGATGATCCCAGCGACAGTGAAGACGAAAGTGTGGAGCGCAAGCTGGCTCGTCTGCGCCGCGAAGTCGAGGAATTGAAAGATCAGCTGGCAACGCAACAATCTAGTACCGAGTCGGCGGAGACAGCCGCTCTGAACAAGCCTGGAACCGATGGAACCGATGGTGTGCTAGAACTGAGTCGCGCATTGGACAACCTCTACGCATCCTCGCGCAGTGGCCCCTCCGGCTCCCACTCGGCCGCAGCTGTCCTCTCTCAAAAGCTCGCCTCCACCTCCACACCGGATTCCCCGGTCAGCAACCCCGCTCAGCTGGACGATCGTAAGCCCACCAACAATCGCCCACAAACACCCCCGTCCCCGTCCGCGACCGGCGGTGGCGTCCTCGCTCACGCGGCCTCGTTCGATGGGCGACTGGCTCTCATTGAAGCGGCCATGGGAATCTCCAGCTCCTCGAATCCCTTTGTCAACGATGGCATCTCTGAACCTGACCTCCAACCGGTTCTTCCTGCGCTCGACCACCTCACCTCTCGCCTCGCCACGCTGATGAACCTCCTCGTCGGCCCGAACCCCGTCTCCGCCTTCCCAACCATGGGCTCAGCTCCCCCAGCTACGACCGTCACCACGCCTCATCTCGAGTCCCTCTCCAGCCGTGTGCGCAAACTCACCGCCGACACAGAGGCCCTGGCCATCGCGCGTAAGCGCGCCGTCGACGCCGCCAAAGCGGCCCAAAACGCCCGCATCTCCTCTACGGCTCTCGAGCCCTCCGACATGTCGGTTTCATCGTCGTCCGCCACGGAAGTCGATCTCGCCGCCACTCAACGCGACGAGCAAGCCACTAAGATCCAGGCTCTCTATGCTACTCTTCCCACCATTCAGTCCCTCCACCCGATTCTCCCCAGCGTCCTCGAACGACTTCGCTCACTGCGCGCCATCCACGCCGGGGCCGCCCACGCCTCGGAATCGTTAGATGTGCTGGAAAAGCGACAAGCCGATATGGCTCGGGAGATCGAGCAGTGGCGCGAGGGGCTTCGGGTGGTAGAGGAGAAGATGAAGCAGGGCGAAGCGGCGCTGAAGAATAATATTGAGACCGTGGAGCCGTGGGTCAGGGACTTGGAGAGCCGACTTGACCGGTTGGGAGTTAGTGGGGTATAAATCATACAGCATGTAAAGCAAGATAGGGATGGACTCAAGTTTACGAAGGTGACCCGGCAAGTGCAGGCCATGAGTTGTCGGGTGTATTGTTTGGTTTATGTTAAGCGGAAGAAGATACATTCAGGCTAGTATAAGAATGCACATACACTAATACCATTGCTTGCATGTGCCAGTGAAGGCTTACATGAGCCCCCAGTGATAAGTCCAGAGGCAAGCTAGTGGATTGTTTCCTGAGCGACGTTCTTCTCAATTTGGCATTCCGAACGTATCTGGTCAATACTGAGCTGGACCCTATTCTAAGGAGACTCCACGTTCTATACGATCGTCATAGCTGCACTTCTACAGCGTCATCTGGAAATACGTAGCTACGGAGTAGTACTGTAATAGAGTAACTGTATAGATTCCCGATGGCCGCCTGGAGTGGGTGCCTATGCACGTGACCGCGCGCCATCTTCCCCGCGTTCCGCCGACGCGCTTTTTTCTTATCAATGGCTGGGCTGGGCTGGGCTGGGTCCGGGCCGTTCAATGACGGTAAATCCGGCGGACTTGGTGAACAGTCAAAAGTGCCCCCGTCATTCTCCAATCTTGATGCCATCAGGCTGTTTGACGGCCCTCGTAGACAGCCCACGATGTGAGTTCAACCTTGCTTGCGAAGGCGCCCTTGCAGCTTAGCGTTTTTGTTTGGTGCAGACTAACCCCGAGTCTGTCTGCAGGTGTAAGTGGCCGCGGAGAGCGAGATCTTGGAGCCGAGTCTCCTGACGCTGAAGCTGACTTTGCATACGTTGGAAATAAAAGCGAAGATAGATAAGCTTTCGATTCTGGGGTATGTTCTGTCCTTTTGTTCGGGTTGGGTGTTTCGTTCGCCATGTCCTGTTTTGTTTTTGTTTTTGAGTCGCTGACTGACCGGGTGTTGCTTTTGCTGGATAGTGTCCGCTCGTTCGACAATACCCGCAGCGAGACTATCCAGTTTCATACGCCGCTTACGTTGATTGTTGGGTATAATGGTTCGGGAAAGACGGTATGACGAATTTGTGTCTGACGGGATGATGGCTGTTAGGCTGATGGGATGGTAGACGATTATTGAATGTCTCAAGTATGCGACCACCGGTGATCTTCCGCCGAACAGCAAGGGTGGTGCATTCATCCACGATCCGAAGGTACGGGTTTTGAGAATGGACTAGATTCCCGAGAGGGTGACTGCTGACGATGATCGTGGCGGGGTCTAGTTGTGCGGCGAAAAGGAGGTGCTGGCGCAGGTCAAGCTGTCCTTCAAAGCGACCTCGGGCGCCAAGATGGTGGCGACGCGGAGTCTCCAGCTGACGGTGAAGAAGACCACGCGGCAGCAGAAGACGCTGGAGGGCCAGCTGCTGATGGTCAAGGACGGCGAGCGGACGGCCATCTCGTCGCGGGTGGCCGAGCTGGACCAGATCCTGCCGCAGTACCTGGGGGTGTCGAAGGCGATCCTCGACTCGGTCATCTTCTGCCACCAGGACGAGAGTCTGTGGCCCATGAGCGAGCCGTCCGTGCTCAAGAAGAAGTTCGACGAGATCTTCGAGGCGATGAAGTACACCAAGGCGATCGACAACATCAAGCAGCTGCGCAAGAAGCAGAACGAGGAGCTGGCCAAGTACAAGATCATGGAGCAGCACGCCAAGGAGGACAAGGAGAAGGCCGACCGCGCCGAGAAGCGCTCCATCAAGCTGCAGGACGAGATCGAGGCCCTGCGCGCCGAGACCCAGCAGCTCTCTCAGGAGATGCGCCGCGTCGCCGACCTGGCGGACAAGGCGTGGAAGGAGTCGGAGAGCTACTCCCAGATCCTGGGCGCGCTGGAGGGCAAGCGCATCGAGGCGAAGAGCATCCAGACGACGCTCGATAACCTGCAGCGTCATCTGGTGGAGCTTGACGATTCGGATGAGTGGCTGGAGTCGAACCTGGAGCAGTTTGAGACCAAGCAGCTGCAGTACCAGCAGCAGGAGGAATCTCAGAAGGAGAACTACATGGAGATCAAGGAACAGATCGAGAACGCGCGGCAGAAGCTGGGTCTCAAGCAGGCCGAGTACGGTAAGTTCGAGAACGACAAGGCGAACTTTGAGCGCCAGGTCGAGAGGCGACAGCGCATGACGAGAGAGATTGCGCGGAGCCACAGCATCCGCGGGTTCGACAAAGTAGTGGACCAGGCGGATGTCGACGAGTTCATGCGGAGAACCAGAAAGATCCTCAAAGAGCAGAACCAGGTGCTGGAGCGAGTCAAGCGCGAGGCTCAAAGCGAGCTGCGTGACGCTCAAAGCTCCCTGAATCAGCTGGGACAACGCAAATCTGCACTGCAAGAAAGTAAGATCGCGGCCAAACGACAGATGGCTTTGAACGACAGAGACGCAGCTTCCTATCAAGCAAAGCTCAATGAGATCAATGTCGATGAGGGCGTGCAGGCTGCGCTGGAAACGAACATTGAGGACATCAGTTCTCGCTTGGATCAGGCAAAGGAACGCTCACGATCCGCTTCGTGGGATAAAGAGATCCAGGGCGTCAACTCGGGGATCCGCAGCCTCGAGGACGAAAGCTCTCGCCTGAACACTGAACTCATCGAGGCCACTAAGAAGGCTGGTGATCTCGCCCGGCTAGACCACCTTAAGAAGGAACTGAAGGAAAGGGAGCGCAGTCTGGAAACCATGAAAGGGGCTCATGGCGAACGACTCTCCAAATACGTCAAGCCCACTTGGAGCGCCGAAACCCTGGAGCAAGACTTTCAGCATGTTCTGGAGGAAGAGTCAAGACACGTCTCGAAGGCGGAGCGTGAACGCGACGGCGTCAGCCGCGAGCTGGAACAGGTAGAGTTCAAGCTGAAAGAAGTGAAGAAAGCCTTGGGTCAGCGGCAGAAAGAATTCAAGGAGAGCGTCACCGAAATCCGTGAAGCCATTGGCGAAGACCCCGAGGAATATCTTGAGATTGTCAAAGAGCGGCAGATCCAGCTTGATCTTGCGCGGAAAGATACGGAGCAGTTTGCTGGCATCAGCACGTACATGAAAGACTGTCTTGCCACGGCGAAGTCAACGAAGGTTTGCCGATTGTGCCAGCGGGGGTTCGAAGCAGACAGACAACTGCAGATCTTCATCAACAAGCTTGAGGGCTTGGTCAAGAGAAACCAACGGAATGCCGAAGACGAAGATATCCGGCAATTGGAGGAAGACCTCAATACTGCGCGGGAAGCTATCACCGCCTACAACACGTGGACACGATTGAAGGAAACAGAAATCCCGAGTCTGGAGAAGGAAGAAGAGCAATATGTTCTCCAACAGGACAAGCTCCTCAATCAGCTGGAGGAACACGATCAGATTCTCAGCGAGAAGACCGAGAAGAAGAAGGATGTCGAAGCACTCTCCAAGACTGTCAGCACTATCGTTAAGTACGACAGCGAAATCAAGTCTATTCGCTCTCAGATACAAGAACTCTCTTCAAAACAAGATGACGACACTGGTTCACGCACCCTGGAGGATATCCAGGAAGAAATTGCTGGGATTGGCGAACGGTCCCGCGCTCTGAAGAAGACACTATCAAAACTCACCCATGAAAAGGAGCAGGCGTTGGCGGAGATCAACAATCTGGAGCTGCAGCTCAGAGACGCTAGGAGCAATCTGGATAACGCCAAGTTCCAGCTCGAACGGAAGGCAGATCTTCTCACTCGCCTGGCAGAATTCAAAAACCTCAACAACGAACAGCGTGCCGCGATTGCGAAGGCAGACAAGGACATTGAGGATCTTACTCCGGAACTACTCAAGCTCCAAGCCCAGGTCGACGACATCAGTCAACGCGCCGAGGCCCGCGAAAGGGAGTTGCAGCAGGGGATTTCCCAGCTTTCCGATAGCGTACATCAACTGGAAGTCGCAAACGAGGAGATCGATGCCTACAACGAGCGAGGAGGTCCTACTCAGCTTGAGCGAAGCAAACGAGAACTCCAGACCATTGAGAACGAGATCAGCGAGCTTGAATCCGAACAGGCCACGATCACCAAAGAGATCAACCGGATCTCAGCCCAGCTCAAGGACAGCGAAAACACCAAGCGCCAGTACGCCGACAACCTGACGTACCGGCAGGCGACCCGAGCCCTGGACAAAGTCAATGGCGAGATCGAGCAACTCGCCGCGCAGAACGCCGAGGTCGACCGCAGCCGCTTCAAGGAGGAATCCGAGCGGCGCACGCGCGAGCACAACGCCCTGGCGGCCAAGCAAGCGAGCAAGATGGGCGAGATGAAGTCCAAGGACGACCAGCTGATGCAGCTGCTCGCGGACTGGGACACGGACTACAAGAACGCGGCCAGCAAGTACAAGGAGGCGCACATCAAGGTCGAGACGACGCGGGCGGCGGTCGACGACCTGGCGCGCTACGGCGGCGCCCTCGACAAGGCCATCATGAAGTACCACGGCCTGAAGATGGAGGAGATCAACGCCATCGTCGGCGAGCTCTGGCAGAAGACCTACCGCGGCACGGACGTCGACACCATCCTCATCCGCTCCGACAACGAGAACGCCAAGGGCAACCGCTCGTACAACTACCGCGTCTGCATGGTCAAGCAAGGCGCCGAGATGGACATGCGCGGCCGCTGCAGTGCCGGCCAGAAGGTGCTGGCCAGCATCATCATCCGGCTCGCCCTGGCCGAGTGCTTCGGCGTCAACTGCGGCCTGATCGCCCTCGACGAGCCCACCACCAACCTGGACCGCGACAACATCCGCTCGCTGGCCGCGTCCCTCCATGACATCATCCGCACCCGCCAGCAGCAGGCCAACTTCCAGCTGATCGTCATCACCCACGACGAAGAGTTCCTGCGCCACATGCAGTGCGGCGATTTCAGTGATTACTACTACCGGGTTTCGCGGAACGAGCGACAGAAGTCCATCATTGAGCGACAGTCGATCGCTGAGGTATGTTGCAATGCTTAACATGGTCCGACGAGCGAATGCTAACGGGTGTAGGTTATGTAATTGCGACTGTGTGTCGTTAGTTGCTTGGTGGACAGATTCGACGCTTTTACGCATGGCATGGTTATCACGGATAGGGAGTTGCTCTTCCAACAAAGGATCAAAAAGTGGTACAGTCCACATTAGCTTACTTTATGTACATCATCATACGCAAACATTAGCAGAAAGCATATGCCGGCGTTAGAGGGAAAAAATTGCAATTCATCTACATTATCAGTATTTCCTTCACGCTATTCGGTTCGTCAAGAACGCTAGATAAATCACAAACTCCAAGGTTGAAACGTCCCATCCCCACTAAAGAACCTCGTCATCATCCAACAACGGCACGAACCGAAAGTCCACGAAACTGACCACGGGCGCCAACCCCCCTCTGGCCGACAACCTCGCCCCACTGTTGTTGCCAGCATGGACATCGGACTCGATCATGAACTGCAAGCTCAGCACACCCTGCCGATCGCCCCGGATACTGACCTTATTGGCCACCGCCATCGCGCGGCTCGCTTTCTGGATCGCCTTGAACCTGTAATCCTGTCGGATGCGCGAGTCCCCCGACGACGACGACGGGGGACTCACCAGAAACGTCTCGGTGACAGTCGGGGCGAGGCGGGCTCTTTTGGCGCGGGCGGCACCTTCGTCATGACCATCATTGGCAGCGGAGGCGGTTGCAGCAGAAGTCTGATTCTCGACGGAGAACTCGACGGAGGACTCGCTGAACGAGCCGCCGGCGCCGGACAAGGCGAAGAACGGCTCCTGGGTGGCGGAGGCCGAGATGCGGAGGGTGGTCGGGTTGGTGGCCGCCAGCTCGGTGATGGCGTTGTGCAGCCAGGCCGACCGCATGATGATCTTCATGATGATCGCGTCGCGCTGCAGCGGGATCTCGACCTCGCCGCCTTCGGGCTCGTACGTGATCAGCTCGCAGGTGGTCTTGATGCCCGTCTCGGTGAGCGTGATGCTCAGCGGGCTGCCTTCCGTGTCGTAGCGGAGGGTGCAGGAGCGGTCGAGGAGGAGGGCGGGGGTGGTGAAGGCGCTGTGCGAGGGGCCCGGTTGCACGCTGCCGGCGCGGGAAGAGCCGCTGCCGCCGCCGGATGTGGTGGAGCTGTCGTTGATGCCGAGGATTTTGAGGGTCTCGAGGAGGGCGGTCAGGGAGATTTCGAAGCACGGGTAGTAGGGTGTTGGGTCGGTGGTGGGGGAGTCCGTGTCATCGTGGTTATGCTCGTCGGTGGGGGCAGCGGTTGGTGGTGGTGGTGGTGGTGGATTAAAGGTATAGCTGGTGAATAGGGCTTTGTCGAGGAATGCAAGCCCCTGCACCGTTCGGGTTTCTTCCACGGAGAAGCGGATGCCATCGGGCGTGAGCTGCACGGAGGCCTTGGGCGCGAATCCGATGCATTGGAGGAGAGTGTAGAGGTGGTGGGCGTTGCTGGAGACCGCGGTGAAGATGGGTTCCACGTCCGCCATGGTTGTCTGCTCGGACTGAGCGCGGCGGCAGCGGTACGATGGTGTGGGTTAGGTTATATGAGGAGTGCAATGAGAGAGAGACAAAGATGGTGTAGTTATATGCTTCGTTTTTCTTGTGTTTTCAACTTTCCAGTATATGGTACATGGGTATCAGAGGAGGTAACTGGAAATCTAAACGTAAACTCCAACGGCACAGATCATATAGACGGCTCCGAAGCTGTTCCACGGACGTTAGTCATGACCGATCTGGTGGGACTGTAGGCGTGATCTTACCCAAAGGCCAGCGATGCTGGGACGCCGAACAGTGCAATGCTGGTGAATGAACGGTCTGGTCGATTGGTAAGCATAGGGCGAGAAGAAGGTCAAGTTTTAATCTTGTTAGGTTTGGGACTGACTCAATCCGAAGAGACCAGTAAGTATAAAGGCTGGTGGGTCAAAAAGTCAGTAACCGTACAGTACAATAGCGACAAGTGACAGGTTGAGCTTACCAGCAAGCAGGAGACTAAAGCCGACGAAGAACTGGCTATCTTTCGCGATAAGGGGAGAGTAAGGGCTCGCAGAAGCTGCCTCCCAGACCTGGTTCAGAGACATTGAGGCGTGACAAACAAAATCAATTTAGTAGGGAAAGGCTTTGTTAGGAACAAGAGAAACGCTTCACAAATTGAAACAGAAGAGAAGATGGCTTTGATATAGAGTGCTAGCAACGTAGCTGTTGTCGTAATCGAAATGGTTATCTGGCTTAACTGCGCCGGATCAATGTAGTTCCGGGCCGTTCCCCGTATCGGGAGGTGGAGAGAGAGACAGACGCCCGCGCGCTACTTGCCTCAGCTCCAGGTCATGTCAATCAGTCTTTCGCCCAGATTCTCGGTTCTGGACTCAGTCACAGTTCACAATATGCCGGCACTTACATCGGAGAGTGAGTCAAGCTTGCAGCCAGACAGCCAGCCAGAAACTTTACTAATCTAGGTTGAGGTCCAGGTACCAAGCGGAAAGCTTCGGAGGAGGCCCTCTCCCCAGATTCGCAGCAACGGAGCAAGAAAGCGCGCACTGATTCCCCGGGGGACGAGCTCAAGGTGGGCATGTCAAAATCGGAATGCTGGGGAGATAAGACCGTACTAATCCTTTTGTTTTCAGACAGAAGATGAACCCCTCGATAAGCCGCCCATGAGGATTGTCCCGTTCCCGGAGAAGGTAAGCTTGCGCAGCACCTCCGCCCCGGGTATGGATGGGACTAACAACGCCAAACCATAATAGCCGGCAGTTCTCGAAGAGCGTCGTGGCGAGATTGAGTTTCGTGTGGTCAACAATGATGGCTCGCGCGACAGTTTCGTCGTCCTCACCGGCCTCAAGTGTATCTTCCAGAAACAGCTCCCCAAAATGCCCAAGGACTATATCGCGCGCTTAGTCTACGACCGGTCGCATCTGTCTATCGCAATCGTCAAGCATCCCCTGGAAGTGGTCGGGTGCGTATATGTGTGATCGGAAGGTAAATTGGGTACTGGACTATGCTAATGGGGCATGCAGAGGCATCACATACCGCCCGTTCAACGGTCGCCGATTCGCTGAGATCGTCTTCTGTGCTATCTCTTCTGACCAGCAAGTTAAAGGATATGGTGCGCATCTCATGTCCCACTTGAAGGTCGGTTTGCAATCTTCCTGGTGAGAAAAACAGCTATTGATGTGTTATACAGGATTACGTCAAGGCGACATCGGACATCATGCATTTCCTAACCTACGCTGATAACTACGCTATCGGATACTTCAAGAAGCAGGGTTTCACCAAAGAGATCACGCTTGATAAGTCTGTCTGGATGGGATACATCAAGGATTACGAGGGAGGAACAATCATGCAGTGTACCATGCTGCCCACGATACGCTATCTCGAGGTTGGCCGCATGCTTCTCAAACAGAAGGAGGCGGTCCATGCGAAGATCCGGGCGTTCAGTCGGTCACACATCATCCATGCACCTCCCAAGGAGTGGAAAAACGGAGCATGCAAGATCGACCCCTTGCTGATCCCAGCTATCAAAGAGTCGGGATGGTCGCCCGATATGGACGAATTGGCCCGCCAGCCCCGCCACGGGCCGAACTACAATCAACTCCTGCATCTGCTCAACGACATGCAGAACCACAGTGCCGCGTGGCCGTTCACGCAACCGGTCAACCGAGACGAAGTGCCGGATTACTACGAAGTCATCAAAGAACCCATGGATCTGTCGACGATGGAAGAGAAGCACGAGAAGGATATGTACCCGACACCGCAGGACTTCATCAAGGATGCCATGTTGATCTTCGACAACTGCCGAAGGTACAACAATGAGAACACGCCGTATGCCAAGAGTGCCAACAAGCTGGAGAAGTTCATGTGGCAGCAGATACGGAACATTCCGGAGTGGTCGGTAAGTAGTCTCCTTCCTCTTGAATCTTGCATGGGCTACGGACACTCGGGCGCTGACATCACTCTAGCATTTGGCTGAGAACCACTGAACAAGTGGTTGTGTGGTCTTTTGGTGTGTAGGCGTTGCTAATTGGCGTTTGGTTTTGCGCGTGATGAACGAATACCCAAAGTTATGAGAACATGGAGCGTTGCTTTCTCTTGCACTTTTTCTTCTTGTTCTTCGTGTCGAATGTGGACATAATTCACAGAAGGGATAAGTTTATTGAACCTTGATGGCCCCGTCGCTGTAATTCTGTGTCTTTTAGAATAGAATGGTCATATTCATGCAATATGATGGTATCGATGCATAGGCAGGGCGAGATCAATACTTTCGAACCTAAAAGTTCGACCCAACACATATCTCTCGTGCTAGCAACAAAGCACCTTAAGATCCGGCCTACGACTTCTTCCCCAAGATGCGCTTAGGATGTCGGGCCCCGGCCACTCCCGACCCCGCCGCTCTGCCCGCGCCGGGCCCTTCATCAATGTCCATCCTCGACCCCGCTAAAGCCTGCATACTATCGTAGTCGTTCCCATGTTCCCAGTACCCGTCATCATCATCCAGTTCGTCCGCACTGAACTCGCGCTTGTTGCCGCCGAGGCCACCACCTCGGAAGGCCTGCTGCGACTGCTGGGCCCAGTGTTTCCGCGCCCCGCCCGCCGCGTTTCCCTCGCCTCCACCGGCGGCACTAGCGGCCTCCGCCCGGTAAGCGGCCAGCGTCTGTTCAAAGACCGCGTCACGCTCATGCTCCTTGGCCCGCCGCTTCGCCGACTCGGACTTGATCTTGGCGATCTCGGCCTCGATGTCGCTGATGACGTCGCCGCAGCGGGTCTCCCATTGCGTAAGGATGGTGATCATGTTCGCGAGCGACTGGGGCTTGACGTCGCGGAGCGGGGCGATGGCGGTGACGTTGACGGTCGGAGGGGTCGAGGTCGGTGAGAGGCGGGCTGTGATCAAGGAGGAGTAGATGGCCGTTGTGACGAGGGATTCGAGGTCGGCGGGGGCGGTGATGGAGAGAGCGCCCATGAGGGCGGTGTAGGTGAGGGGTTGGATGGTGGAGGAGAGGGTGAGGAGCGTGAGGAGACGGAGTTTGAGTGTCTGGGCCGGGCTGAGAGCGGGCAGGTTGGGTGTTTCTGGGTGGGTGATTTGTGTGAGCATTGCGTTGCGTTTGCGTTGTGTCGTCGTCGATGACACAGGTTTGTGAGGGGGATATGTTAGAGAAACTCACCTTGGTAGGCTTGCCATGTGCCCCAGGCGTAGATTTCAAGCAACGTCAGGTAGCTCTGGTATTCTGCTGGGGTGTCCGGGGAGCGCAGGGCCTGGACTGCCGCCGTCTCCAGGAGCTCCGCGAAGACGAACGTATGTGGGTTGGAGGTTGCATTTGTGATGATATTGGCGACAAAGCGAGGAGAGTTTGCACTGGACGAATTGGCGAGAGCGATGAACGGCTGGAGGGCCTCGATGGCCCGGGTGTGGATTTGGTCCATGCTGTCTGTCGGCCTGCTCGATATCACACTCTTCCGATTGACTTGGCTATCAAGGCCGATGGTAATGAAATCAGAAAGCTGAAGTTGACCCCCAGATGGTTTTGTCTGCAGATTCTGCAAGTGCTGATGAGCAGATATAGTGGAAAATCAGCTCGGAAGTGGCTGTAATTGTCAGCGATAGGTGGGATGAATCGCTGAATCGATGACCGATGATGGGGTGGATGTTATGGCGGTGTTTGTCTGCGATGCAAACATGGTGGGAGTGAGATCCGGCCATGTGATTCCGGGACTCGCCAACACAGGCATCTAAACATCCTGCGGTCTTTAGTTTCGACTCTCCAATTTGCTATCGTTCTTGTCAGGACTGCCTCGGAGTAGCTCGCTTCAATGGGCGTTTCGACTGAGGTGAGGCTCTGGTCGACCTTCATCTATTAAGAACCACTGCAATCTCAAGTCTGGAACCATTCCAGGAGCTACAGCTCTATAGTTGAAACGTCAGAGCCACCCGATGTTTCAACCCCAGAACCCTTCCAGAGTCTTTTCTTGACAGCTAAGCATGACAGGTTGTCTAGATCTGACGGTCTCGATACTCCAAAGAGCGTTCGCAAGAGCACAATATCATTCAAGGTGGCCCAGGTGTCTCAGCCAAGTCTGCACACAGCATTGTTCCTCTCTCAATGAAGTGAATTCCCATGTCTTACACCTAGCTACCTGGTCTGCGGAGTCCGACGGCCGCCAACCGATCTCTTGTTACGCAACGAGGATTCCCGGTTCGAGATACAACAGGTCTTGGTGGTGTTGAGCTCCTCCAGGTGCCCGGAACGCCTGATGACTGTCAAGTCTGCTTCTGAATTCAAAAAGAGCTGATTCCAGAAACGGGAACTCTCCTTGCAGACTGGCATGCAGGGCTGATCCTGACCATTCCTTGTGTTCCGGGATGAGACTTGTCTGACCAGCCTGAAGCCTCGGTTGTTCAGGCCATATTGCAATCCAGACACGCTGTTATGGAGAGATCCCGGACGGAAATCAACCAGGATCAAGACGATGGTTCATGAAGTGATAATAGTTTTGTACTCGTACTCGTAGCAGTGCCGACTGCCGACGACACCGGACACGAATGGGCGTAGAGCATGGGGACTTTTTCACACGTAAGCGGGGCCGGGCATTCCTCGAAAGTGGAGAGGAATCGGAGGTAATTTTCCTCGATCAACTCCCCAAGTGGGTTCCCTCATTGTTATTGTCCAGAACATTTACGAAAAGGAAAGAAAGACAAAAAAGAACAAAACATGGACCACTTTGTCCACTCTTTGTCCAATCCCTAACCGGCGTTGATTGCCTACCCTGGCATTCCTTTGCGAGAAGATTGTTTGTGCTATTATTCTATTCTTTTATTGAGTGATGAATTCGGGGAGCTTGCGTCCACCACAGTGACCACACTGACACTGACTGCCTGCACTCTGCAGCGCCCGGTCTTCTTCTTCTGCCTCCTCCTCTTCTTCAACAGCCAGCAAATCCCCAAATTTGTCGCTTCCGGCCCCATCCGGTCTTAGCACTGGCTCCATTATTGGTACTACTTTTCTAGTCTCAATATAAATCCGTCTTATTATTACATGATCAATAGCCAAGTCTCCAGCGATCCTTGCATGACAACCTGCGGTTCCCTCCGTTAGTCTACTGCTACTCACTGACTGCTACTCATATATTACCCTCCCGAACGCCCGCCCCGTCAGCATCCCCTCCCTCCCCGTCCAAACCACGTTCTTATGCGATAACACTGCCGCCGGCCGACAATCTTTCTTCGCCTGGTTGTCACCACCACTACCACCAAATCCGTGCGACATGGCGGCCTCATCAACCGCTTTGCTCCGCGCCGGAGACCATGGCTCTCTTAATGATCGATCGCCCGCTCATATGGCCACCACTACGGTTAGTGTGGAGGGTATGACGTGTGGCGCCTGCACCTCCGCTGTCGAAGGTGCCTTCCAGGGAGTGGAAGGCGCCGGCGAGGTGACCGTGAGCTTGATGATGGGCCGCGCCGTTGTACACCATGATCCGAGCTTGCTCACCCCGGAAAAGGTCGCCGAAATTATCGATGATAGCGGTTTTGACGCCAAGGTCATCTCTACCGACAGCTCAACCCTACCAACCGAAAGCACGGCGAAATCCTCCATATCGACCACGACTCTGGCGGTGGAAGGCATGACATGTGGCGCTTGCACCTCCGCGGTCGAAGGAGGATTGAAAGAGGCATCGGGTGTCCAGTCAGTCAGCGTGTCTCTACTCTCGGAGCGCGCCGTAGTTGAACACGATGCCTCGGTGATCACCCCGGATCAAATTGCGGAACTGATCGAAGACCGTGGTTTTGGTGCAAAGGTGCTGGAAACCTCCACGGCTCAGGATAGCTCTCAATCTTCACAGGACTTGACGGGATCAAGGTCCTCTCTAATGGTCACCACGGTATCTATAGACGGCATGACATGCGGTGCATGCACAGCCAGCATACAAAATGCGTTCAACGGAGTCGATGGATTGGTGCAGTTCAATATCAGTTTACTTGCGGAACGAGCGATTATTGTCCACGACCCATCTGTTCTACCAGTTCAGACGATTCTTAATACTATCGACGATGCGGGTTTCGATACAGCGATAGTATCTTCCGAAGCGCAAAACCTCTCGTCGAAGGGTGTCGGCCAAGTCACCCTTAGTCTTCACGGTGTGCGCGATGCTGCCTCAGCAACGTGCTTGGAGGATGACCTCCTCCGAAAAACTGGCGTGTCTTCAGCCTCAGTGGACATGGTTTCCTCCCGAATCAATGTATCCTTCGATTCCTCCATGCTCGGTGTTCGATCGATCGTCGAAGCTATCGAGGCAGCTGGATACAATGCCTTGGTGTTGCAGTCAGACGACACGAATGCGCAACTCGATTCGCTCTCGAAAACCAAGGAGGTCCAGGAGTGGAAACGCGCGTTCCTCTTCTCCGCCTCCTTTGCCGTACCGGTCTTTCTCATCAACATGATTCTCCCCATGTACTTTCCCGCAATTGATATCGGCCGTGTCCCGCTCTTCTGCGGTCTCTACTTGGGTGACGTCGCTTGCCTTTTACTTACTATCCCTGTCCAGTTCGGCATTGGAAAGCGCTTTTATGTGGCCAGCTATAAGTCTCTCAAACATCGGTCACCGACCATGGATGTTCTGGTCATGTTGGGTACATCTGCGGCATTTTTCTACAGCATTTTCACCATGATCGTCGCGATGTTCTCGAGTGGTCACTCGAGGCCTAGCACGGTCTTCGACACAAGCACGATGCTTATCACATTTATCACGCTGGGAAGATGGTTGGAAAACAGAGCTAAAGGTCAAACTTCGGCTGCACTTTCGCGACTCATGTCCTTGGCGCCTTCAATGACTACTATTTACGATGACCCTATTGCCGCAGAGAAAATGGCTGAGCAGTGGGACACTAAAACCTCACCATCGGAGGACAGACAGTCAGCTCCCGCCGCACATGAGACCTCGGGCCCTGGGCAAAAATTGATCCCTACTGAGCTCATCGAAGTCGGGGACATCGTGATGCTCCATCCCGGAGATAAGGTCTCGGCAGATGGCATCGTCATTCGCGGTGAAAGCTATGTCGACGAAAGTATGATCACGGGTGAAGCCCTCCCTATCCACAAATCCAAGGGCAGTGTTGTTATTGCCGGAACGGTCAACGGGACAAGCTCGATGGACTTCAAGGTCACACGAGCAGGCAAAGACACTCAGCTTAGTCAGATCGTCAAATTGGTACAGGATGCCCAAACGAGTCGAGCTCCAATTCAACGTATGGCCGATGTGGTAGCTGGATATTTTGTGCCAGCTATTATCAGTCTTGGTCTGGTCACCTTCTTCGGCTGGATGTTTATGAGCCATATTCTGCCCCATCCACCCAAGGTCTTCTTGGCAGAAAGCAATGGAGGCAAAGTCATGGTCTGCCTGAAGCTCTGCATCTCCGTGATTGTTTTCGCCTGTCCTTGTGCCCTGGGTCTGAGCACGCCCACCGCCGTCATGGTTGGAACAGGTGTAGGTGCACAGCAGGGTATTCTCGTCAAGGGTGGCGCTGTTCTCGAGGCCGCTACAAAGATCACCCATGTCGTTTTCGATAAAACTGGGACCTTGACAACCGGGAAGATGAGCGTTGCAGAAACCAGAATTGAGCCCCAGTGGACTGCGAACGACTGGCGGCGTCGACTATGGTGGCTGGTTGTTGGTCTTGCAGAGATGAGCAGCGAACACCCCATCGGAAGAGCCATCTTTGCTGCTGCTCAGACTGAGTCAGGTAACCCCGGAGACGGCGGTCTGCCAGGAAGCTTGGGTGACGTTGAAGCCATTGTCGGAAAAGGTATCTCTGCATTGGTCGAACCAACCTCAAGTGCTGAGCGCATTCGATACCGTGTTTTGGTGGGTAATGCTTCTTTTCTGCGATCCAGAGACGTTGCGGTCCCAGAATCTGCCGAGCCCCAGGCTTCAGAAGATTCGGAAACTATTAACGCTAAAGCTCCTGCTGGAATCACTCAGATCCACGTCGCCATTGATGGCCAGTATGCCGGTACTATCTCGCTTCGGGATACTGTGAAAACCAGCGCTCCGGCAGCAGTTGCGGCTTTGCATCGCATGGGCATCATGACATCCCTTATCACCGGTGACACCCATGCAACTGCCATTTCGATCGCTGCAGCCGTTGGGATTCCGATTGAAGCAGTTCACGCTTCCGTATCCCCTTCGGACAAGCAAGCTATTGTCGCTTCGCTGCAAGAGGCCGGCGATCGAGTTGCCATGGTTGGTGATGGAATCAACGATTCTCCCGCTCTGGCTACTGCGTCTGTCGGTATTGCGCTTGCCTCTGGAACCGATGTTGCCATGGAAGCAGCCGACGTCGTTCTCATGCGGCCCGATGACTTGCTTTCCGTGCCGGCAAGTTTGTATCTATCCCGGTCGGTGTTCAACCGAATCAAGCTGAACCTGATGTGGGCGTGTCTCTATAACATCATCGGACTGCCCTTTGCCATGGGCATCTTTCTCCCATTCGGGTTCATGCTACCCCCCATGGCTGCCGGTGCCGCCATGGCTGCTTCTAGCGTCTCGGTCGTCGTCAGCAGTCTCCTCCTCAAACTCTGGCGCCGACCCAAATGGATGGACGCTGACAAGCTCCTCAAGGAGATTTCAGAAGCGAACTCCGACTTCAAGTCCTCACAGAAGAGCTGGTGGGCCGCGACTCTCTCGGTCACCGGCTCCTCCTCTGGTGGCCGATCATCATCCCACTGGATCCGCAAAACTTGCGCCGAGGCTTGGTCCTTTGTCACGGGCAAGAGAGCCCGAGGCTCCGACTGGGACGAGGGCCGCTACGTTCCTCTGCAAACGGTGGAACCCGCTTGAGCCCTCCTGTGTAAGACGCACAACTTTTCTGGGTATATAATGATTGTCTTGTCACTGGTTGTCTATGAGCATTGGCGATTCGGCCATATATTGCATATCTCTTTGCATATCACGACCATCTAATGATATAATTTTGAGTTTCTTTGTTTTGGTTTTGGTTTCTTGGACAGCGAATGGTGCTATCTTGGCGTTGTATGGTTTTCTTTTTCTTTTTTTTTTCCCCTCCCTATTTCAGGTAGAATGCCTTTCTTCCGACGGCCTATAAATCTTATACCGCAACAATTGGATGATCATCAACTGAAAGTTGATGCTTCTTGATTACCGTAATCTCATGTTGTAGCCCTTTTCGAAAGGACGCAAGGACCTTTACATTCGAACCTGTAAGCCAAGTACATGCCTCGCAGCAACACTACCGAACCATATTCGAGAGCCTCGCTCAACATCAATGTAGGGTCATGAATATGCATGCAATGCTAAATCATAGTTTGAAGTTTGACACAGATAGACGCCAATCGGCTTCCGCTATTACCCGCAGCCCCTCTCAACCTTGCTTCTGGTGCTGCTGGTCCTTGTCGCTTGTCGCAGACACTTCTTCTGCCTTCGCATCCTCCAGCGCAATGTCTCCATCGCCATCTGTACCAGGCTTAGCATTGCCTTCCTGAGCCCGGCCCTCTCCTCGACTCGACTGTTGTTCCTGCTGCTGCGGGCCACCCTGCAGACTCGCAGCCGACTCCTGGCTCTCCTTCTGAGTTTGATCCTGCTGCTGCTGGCCGCTCTCCGCCGCGCCATCGAGATTCATCTCCACCCCCTTCCCGTCCTGTAACCCCAGATCCTCGACCCCAACGACAGGCGGACCCCGCGCATGCGGAATGTCCTCCACGAGTGGCTCGGCAGGCACCGACTCCATCCCGCCCATCACCTCATTCTCAGGGTCGATCTCCCCCGTCGTCGTGGCGGTCGTAGGCTCCCCTCCACCACCACCACCACCACCACCCCCTGAGCCGATTGTAGTAGTCTCCGCCGCCGCCGCAAAGCCAGTCTCACTCTGCCCGATCACACCCACGATGCCGCCACTTGCAGTTTCTTGGTAGCCATCCCCGTCGGGGGAAGACGCAGCGTTGTGCAACCACGGGATCGGGGTGAGGAGCGCCCCGCCGAGCGACTCGTCGCTGCCCAGGGCGTTGTCGACGGAGAACATGAAGCTCGGTTCGGTGGCTGCTGCTGCCGCCGCCGCCGCCGCCGCGCTGCCGTTGAGGGTGCCGTTGGGCTGTTGGTGGTGGGGCAGCACTGGCTGTTGGGTGCCGGTGGTGGTCTGGAAGGGGAAGATATCCGCGGGGCTGGTGACGGAGACGACGCGGTCGACGGCGCGGAGGTACGCCGGGAGAGTCCGATAGTGCGCCGTGGGACGGAGGATGAGCTCTGCGAGGCGCTGGATGGTGTGGGGCGGTTTGGAGGCGAAGAGCGTGCGGATGTTGGTGGAGATGGCTGTCAGGAGATGGTCGAGTGGCGCCGGGAGGGCGGATGCGTTGGTGGAGGAGGAGGATGGGCCTGGCTGGGAGTCCGGGATGCGTTCGCTACTGGATAGAGGCGTCGTGGTTGGGGAGGTGGCTGTCGGTCGCGGTGGGGTTTGAAGGTTGGGGGGATTGGTCGTGTCGGCGCTGTTGCTGGCGCTGGTGCTGTTGTTTGTGGTAGTGGTAGGATCATGGGCTAGGATGGTGGCGGCGGAGGGGAGCATAGGTGGTTGCGCTGGTGCTGCGGGCACTCGGGGCATGGGGAACGCATTGTAGACGTTCTTGGTAGGCCGGATGCTTGTCAGTGACGTTGGTGATCTAGACGCGCGTGGGGTATCTTGGGGGTTGCGCACATGTTGGAGTCGCTCAAGGAGCGGTTCGACAAGGTTGAGCCATTTCGAGCTTCCAGGGACAATGTCAGCGTTGGATTGATGAGCCAAGCAGGTAGGCTAGCATACGAATCTATGGTACCACCGTTGGCGGCTGTCTCGAGACTCTCTTCGTCTGAAATGCGCGTTGGGTGAGCAAGATATGATCCAAGTTGTGTCAAGAAGCGGACTTGAGCTTGAATAGCTTGTGAAGGGATAGCTGCAGGAAGTGAAGACTTGACCAGAGCGCGGAGACTTACCAAGCGACATAATCACAGCAATAACTTCTGGCTCTATTTGCGAGAATAGAAGAATGGGGAGCAAGAAGTTAGAGACTGGAGGAACGTAGTGAGAGGCAATTGATTGCTTGGTGAATTGATTGCTTGCTTGATTGATTGATTGATTAATTAATCGACGGCTCGTGACGCGCGCGCGCGGGGAGGAAGAGCGGCTCCCCGGCAACCACTCCCTGTGATTGGCCCCAACAGCCGCTTATCGGAACCCCACGTGACTGAGGGGCTCAATTTCTCCTTCCCCAGATCCTCTCCGTTTTCGGCCTTCGCTCGTCGCTTCACCGTCAACTTTTTTTTTTCGACTTGCTCCGTCGTGCATTTCGTCGGTCCAACAAAGTCCAGCCAGCAACATGTGGAACTCCCCGAAGGTCGGAATTCTTGGTGGAGGCCAATTGGGCCGTATGATGGTCGAGGCCGCCAACCGACTCAACATTCAATGCAATGTCCTCGATGCGGAGAACTCCCCGGCCAAGCAGATCAGCTCCCACGACGACCACGTTACCGGCTCCTTCAAGGAGCGCGAAGCCGTCCGCGAATTGGCCAAGTCCTGCGACGTGGTGACCGCTGAGATCGAACATGTCGATACCTACGCTCTTGAGGAGATCGCTTCCCAGGTCAAGATTGAGCCCAGCTGGCAGGCAATCCGCACGATTCAGAACAAGTTCGACCAGAAGGAGCACCTCAGACAATATGGCATCCCCATGGCCGACCACCGCGAGCTTACTGAGAACACACCGGAGGAACTGGCTAAGGTGGGCGAGCAGTTGGGTTACCCTCTGATGCTCAAGTCGAAGACTATGGCTTATGATGGACGCGGTGAGTCATACTTCTCTGCCATCGCCTTTGGGTGCAGGATCACTGACGAGGTCGATGGCATAACCAGGAAACTTCCATGTGCGCACGAAAGAGGACATCCCCGAAGCTCTGGAAGCTCTCAAGGGCCGACCTTTGTATGCCGAGAAATGGGCTTATTTCAAGATGGTTCGTCCTCGGGCCCCCCCCCCCCCCCCCCAATGCGTCACACATACCACGAAGTACATGGTTCTGACGACTAGCACTTGTATAGGAACTTGCCGTCATGGTTGTCAAGACCAAGGACAACGTCCTCTCCTATCCCACCGTTGAAACCGTTCAAGAAGACTCGGTCTGCAAGCTCGTGTACGCCCCCGCCCGCAACGTCTCCGATGCGATCAATGAGAAGGCCCAAGAACTGGCCCGCAAGGCCGTCGCCGCGTTCGACGGCAAGGGTGCCTTCGGTGTCGAGATGTTCCTCTTGGAGGACGACAGCCTTCTCCTGTGCGAGATTGCCAGCCGCATCCACAACTCGGGTCACTACACCATTGAAGGATGCGCCATGTCGCAATTCGAAGCCCACCTGCGCGCGATCCTCGACCTCCCCATTCCTCCCAAGAGCCTCGAGCTCCGCCAGCCCTCCATCATGCTCAACATCATCGGCGGCGCCGCCCCGGATACCCACCTCACCGCCGCCGAGCACGCTCTCTCCATCCCCAACGCCAACATCCACCTCTACAGCAAGGGCGCCGCCAAACCCGGCCGCAAGATGGGCCACATCACCGTGACCGCCGCTACCATGCACGAAGCCGAGACCCACATCCAGCCGCTCATCGAGGTCGTCGACCAGATCCGCGCCCAGCGCAGCGACGTCAAGACCAAGCCGCAGTCCTCCGGGCCCTCCAAGCCCGCCCCCTCGGTCGCCGTGATCATGGGCTCCGACAGTGACCTCAAGACCCTTGTCCCCGGTCTCAAGCTCCTGCGCGACTACTTTGGCATCGAGCCCGCTGTAGACATCACCTCCGCCCACCGCACCCCCACCTTCATGGCCGAGTACTCCGCCGGCGCCGCGGCCCGCGGAATCAAGGTCATCATCGCCGCCGCCGGTGGTGCCGCCCACCTCCCCGGCATGGCTGCCGCGCACACCGCTCTCCCCGTCATCGGTGTACCCGTCAAGGGTAGCTCGTTGGATGGTGTGGATAGTCTGTATAGCATTGTGCAGATGCCTCGAGGTAACTTATCCCCCCAATGAATCCTTTACTTCTTTACACGCGAAAACAGCAACAATATATTTTTCCTTACTCCCCGCCTATCTCCCCTCCCCAACGCATTCACTAAATGCATCACCTCGGCTAACGCGAACATACAACAGGCGTCCCCGTCGCCACCGTCGGCATCAACAACAGCATCAACGCGGCTCTGCTGGCCGCTCGCATCCTCGGTGCCTTTGACCCGACCATCCAGAAGAAGGTCGAGGCCTACGCCGAGAGTGCTCGCGCCGAGAACATGGAGTTGAAGGGTACGAAACTGCAGGAGCTGGGCTGGGAAAGGTACTTTGAGCAGATGTAAAATCTTTTGTATTTGGTGCTTGAAACTTTCTCGCTCTCTCTTTTTAATGGTTATGATCGGATACGGTACGGGTAAATAAAAGATAGATAGGGGAGGATGGGAGATAAGTTGTTCAATGCCATTCTGGCTTATGATCTCAACCAGTTGCTCCAAAGGATTTCAAGGTAAAGAGGCGGGTGTACAGGACAGTACAGTAGTAACTGCATCGTTGGATATACGGGAAGTTCTTGGCAGGATATTTAGGGCGGGACTTTACGTTAGGAGGCAAACAGAAAAGCATGACATCACAGATACAATGGATTAATCATTAACTACTGAGACATCTCACAACATAAAACACAAACCAGAGCAGGGAATCAACCGACATAAACAATCATTAATACACGTGGTATGGAAGTGTAAAAAAAAGAGTGTGACACATCAGAACCACAGAAATTCCAGTACGCAGTACTGACAAACAGGTATCGGTATCAATAAACAATAAACAGACAACAAGACACAAGGAAAATAGCTGATGAGCGTGGTGAACAAAACTCGTGTAATTTTGTTTATTTGGGTCTGGAAGAAACCCAGCAGCGGTAATGCATTGCCCGTGTTATCCGATCCGTCCTGGTTTCGGTCCTTCAGGCGTGACTTAAGCGGTCTGGGGGTTGAATGCGGTCTGAGCACCGGGGACAGTGGGACGGCCATTAGCAGTCAAGTTAGTGTGGCCATTGCCGAAGGCCTGGTTGACTTCGTCGGAGAAGCCGCGGGAGGCGGCCACATGGTCATAGGGCTTGGAGTGGCCGTTGGTATAGCCGTTGGTGCCGGCAGTGTAGCCGTTGGTGTGACCGTTAGTGTGGCCATTGGTGTGCCCGTTGGTGTGACCGTTAGTGTAGCCGTTAGTGCCCAGGGCATGAGAGCCATTGGCCGCCCGGCCATCGAGAGCTGCCACGCCTCCGGTGGTCGGCTTGCCGTCAGCGAGAGCCGAGGGGCCCTTGGTGGCGGCCCCAGTGGTTGGGCCCTGCTCAAGAGGGGAGCGACGCTTGCGCGAGATGCTTGCCGGCTTGGGAATGTCGGTAGACTCGGACGCACTGCCAATGCTGAAGACAGGGGACTCCCAACGTTCGCCCTTCATGGCCAACTCCTTGTACTCCGTAGCCTTGCTGGAGATACCACCAGGAAGCTTGATGTCGGGGAAGATGGAATCGTGAAGAGTAGTAGCGGTCTGGACCTTGGTACCACGCTGGGCCGCAGCCTGAGCCTGGGCCTGGGCCTTGCGAGCCTTCTCTTCGCCACGGGCACGGAAAGCATCCAGGTAGCGTGAGTAGATATTGGGGGCGTTGGCAGGGTCCTCGCGGCTGGCCTCCTTAGCCTCGTTGACCCGAGATTGGATTTCGTATGCAAGGGCATCACCCTTGGCGAATGCATCCCGAATCTGCTGTTCAATGACCTTCTGTAGGGTCGGGCGGACGACACGGAAGAGCAGAGGCTTGAAGATGGTGAAAAGTGCCTTGTGCTTCGACTTCTTCAGCTTCACGTTGAAAGAGTCGATCTTGACGGACACCTTGTCTAGCTTGATGTAGTGCTGGCTATCCTCCCTTTGAGCAGTAGAGGCCGCGATCTTGAACCCAAAACCTTCACCACCCAAGAAGATGTCCATGATACCGGTGTCAGTGATTGCTGGGAATCCCTGCTTCCGGTTGATGTAGTAGCTGACATCCCTGAGATCGGCTTGAATTCCAGAGACAGAAATCATGATCTTGTTGTCTCTCTTGCTGCTAATCTTCTTGCGTCCCCAGCGGAAGTAGTTGTCGCTGCCGAATTCAACCACGTTTGGCATCAAGTTGTCGCTCTCAATCACGAGGTTTTCCACGACCACATCAGCGGAGGGGTCAGAGACTTCGATCCGTGGGACCGGAACGTAACGCACGTTCTCAAAGGCAGCAGGGAGGATGACATCCCGAATGTCCTTGAGAAGATGCTTCTTGAAGGCCACATTGCCACTCGAATCTCGGCCAAGGTCTTCGAAGAGCTTCTCCAAAGAGCTTCTGAAGGCCAGGTTCTGGGGATCCTGGTTGAATTGATCACCAATGAATTTGATCTCATCCAAGATGCGATCTGTGTGGTCCTTATAGCGGTCACGCAGTAGGTATCGTCCGTGCTCATTCAACTGGTTCCACTGACGGGTGCAGTCATCTTCCATAATGTAACCCTGCTCAGTCAGAGTTTTTCTGGATATATCGTTAGCGAAGCTCCCGTGTTGGCCAAGGACCTATGCATACCTAAGGAATGTGTCCATGTTGCGGAACCATCCCTTCAGCTCGGGGTCTCTGTCCGCATCGCGGTAGATGTTGTCGAGGGAGTCGAAGAGGTTGTCAAGAGAAGTGCTGTTGGCGAAGCGCTCAAGCAGAGTCTATATGTCATATTAGTGACTGTACGCCGACATCTGGCCTTGGACGACCTACCCTCAGGTTTGTTTCCATTTTCTGGATTTTATCACCGCTTCGGAAGCCTTGGACTGACCCAGCACCCTGCTGAGAAAGGTTACGGGTGTGACTGCCATACTTCTCGGCCATTGAAAGCAGAGTCCGAATAGCCTGCTGGTCTATAAACAATCCCAAGGTTAGTCCTAGGTCAAGAAGTGATTACAAGATAATCTCAGTGACTTACAGTCCGAATGGCCCTGGATTTCAATGACCATCTTCTTCAGTCGCCAGATGGCCTGGTCGCGGCGCTCTTGAGGCATCTTCTCCGAGAGATAGTTCTTGGTTCTTTCACGGTACTCACGAGCCCGGTCCTTCTGTTCCTCGGGAACATTGTCAGACACCAATTCCTGGGCTCTCTGCGCTCCGGCGGTCGCACCAGCACGAGGATCGACATCTGAGACGCTCTGGGGCTGCTGTCCGCCGGTCGCAGCCTGAGCGGCCGCATCTGTCACATCTTGCTTGCCCTAATGATGTGTGAGTTGCTATAGCATTCAGTCCCTGGAGATGGACTTACCTCTTCCTTGTTTTTCTTGAAGCGGGACTTGAACTGTTCCTTTTGCTGCGAGAAGTCCGGTTGCTCATGCCACACGTTATCCTCGGCGGGCTCGTCGATCTGAGAAAGTTGATCCTGCGATGGCCTCAGCCGGTCGGAAGCTTTTTGGGACACATCGCCAGCCATATCGCGAGCTAGGATCATAGCATCATTGACTGCAAATGATTGTTAGTCAAGGTGCTTTGTACAATCTTTGGGACGCTTCACATACGAAGCTTTCTGAATTCCCCATTGGTGATTAGGAGTCTTCCCAGGGTCTTCAGTCCCTCGATGGACTCCTGAGCATCCTGCTGGGCCGAATCCTTGGTCACAGGCAACCCAGGCTTCTCTGTATCTTCTGCAGAGATGTTCTGGGCCTCCCAGAGGAATTCTTGAAGCAGCTGACCGTCGTTCTTGCTCAGCATGAGCTTTTTGGCATTGTTGATAACATCGCGGAGATCTTGGACAAGGCCCTGTCCCTCAGTGGAGAGTTCTTTCGACGGGGCAGAGAGAGCCTTGTGCTGGAGCGCGGTGTTCAAGGCAACATCACATTGTTTGTTCTATAATGGATGAGTGTATTAGTTCGTGCCATCACCCACGGACTGGAGGAGGGATACGCACCGATGGAAGCTTGCCATTCTTGAACGCTTGATAGATACCAAAGAGCTGCAGCTTTTGGTTGATGTCCTAACATCACAGACTGATCAGCATTGCGGCTCCTCCACCAATGGCCTCAGATTCTCGCTTACCTGCTCCTTCTGCTTGGTGTTCATGGGGTGGTTAACCGCCGCCTTGGAAGACATGATGAATAGCTTTCTGCGCTAGCTAGCGAGACGATACAACGTGAGTGGAATGGAAGCCCGAAGGGACCAATGATCGCCTGCGAGTCGGCGTCTTGCCAAGGAGCTCAAGTGAAGTGGCTGTTAAGATATAAATGTTCGATCGCAAAGGCGATAGAGTTGAAATCCCGAGGATGATAAGCGATGCCCGTGGAGCCGATGGCGAAGGAGTCAATAGTGGTAGCCAAGGGAGGAAAGGGTCGCGTCGCTGGGGTATCGTCGGAATGAAGGACGCAACCTGTGAATTAGGATTGAGATCGGAATGTGTATAGCTGCACGGGTATGAGATTGGATAATTGGATATTGGGGGTATTGGGGGGGGGGTATAGAGTATTGGGTATCAAGTATTAATAGTATTATTGTTCCAGGTATGAACAGGAAGGGCGAAAATAATATCTAGTGAAGAAAGCGTAGAAGATAACAGCGAAAGCGAAGAATAAATACCTTCGCCGGATGCAGATCACCGCCCACGGAAGGTGTGCAAAATCATGGCTGCATTAGGGAGAGTAGGGGAAAAGGGAGGAAAGGGTGGTTTGACGTCACTGTGTCGTTGGTGACAGGTGCTGGACCGGTTCCTGGGCGCCATTGAGGTGAAGAAGGGTGTGGTGTTGGTGGTGGTGGTGGTGGTGGTGGTGCGACAAGGACCAAACCACAGCATCATTCATCATCATCATCATTATCATCATCATCACCTTCGCCGCCAGTCGTCGTCAACCGCAAGTGGATGAGGTCATCAGCCGATGCTGGCTGGCCAGTTGGAGGAAGGAAACAAAACTCTACAGCAGGGACGGGGAAGAGAAGCGGCAGACGGGAAGCTTCTACCTATCCACGACCGCGATCGACGCCAGCAACCCATTGATACGTGGGTAAGAAGCCATCGTGATGTCGAGCGGGACAAACCATCTTTCAGCAAGCCAGCAAACAGGAAGGGATCTGTGCTATCCAAGTTCGGTGGGTTGAAGAACCCCGGGAAGCTTGGCATCACATGCTCCGCCGTAAGTATACTACATAGTAACTTACTTGGACAAGGTTACTCGTCGGCTTGACTCAATGCACCCAACTGACCCAACTTAAAACCTGAGAGTTCTTGTTTCTTTTGCATCTACTTGAAGCTACTTCACCGGGGTTACCTCCCTGATCGGTAAAGGTGTCGCCAAGAGAGACATAGCAGAGGCATTGAGTCAGATGAAGGTTATGGATCCCTATGAGTGTGTAAGACCTAAGTCGAGAGTGGGGGGAGCACCATAAGGCTGAAAGCTGTATGTATCTAGACTAGACCTGCAAATCGTGAGGGAGTCGATGTACTATACTCCGTACTGGACTGCAGTGGACTCGTACAGGTGTGTGTGGTTTGAGGACTCGACAAGGTAGAATTCCAGTTTATCAGATTGGGGGCTCCACTGAAGTTCGGCGGTCCGCATCACCCTGACGTCACCCCCTCCGGTCTTTTCTCGAGTCTGGACCAACGAAGCTGTTGGCAGTATAGCAGAGCTCCCTGCCTGCTGGAATACTGAGTACAGCAATGTCATAATAGGCGCCAGCATATCTTTTACTCTTCCTAACCCTCTCACCGCAGTCAAGCGCTTCAGCCAAATTTACGTATCGCAAAAGACTTAAATCTTTTACCATCCCTAAGACCGTCAACCAATCACGAGATACCGTTGCTTTATTATATACCCAGCATAATCTCACTGCACTGATCAACTTCACGCGGGAGGGAATTACCAGTAAGGGGGAATCCTGCCTAGACTGCAGCCGAAGATAATGCTTTGTGGTACGGAGAGGGTAGCTCCTCGAAGCGAGGAATATCGGCTATTATATTAATTTAAATTTGGCCCGGATTGACTAGATGTGCGGCTGCCGAAAGGTGAGTGCGACAAGTGGTTATAAACATCAAGAATGTCAAAGTGCCTGCGATTAAGTGCTGGGAGTGTTTCTTTCCACTGTCAGCCATCTACTAATTGTTGTCAGTAGACAAAGAGCCTGTTCACAAGATATTCTGACAGGGTAATTGAAAAAGTGGAAAAGTGGAAAAGTGGAAAAGTGGAAAAGTGGGAAGATGGTCGGATAGTTAAGAGGCCGGGAGAGAAGTACATACCTTGCCTAGTACCGGTAACTTAGTTCCAACCCAAAGGATCCTAGTGATCCTAGTCAATTGTTAGACTAGCCTGAGGGCCCGCGCCCGCGCCGGCGAACAGAGGTTCCTACCTATTTAGGTACAGTACCAGATAGTTAGTGGTAGCCTGAGGCCAGACAATGGCAGACAGAGTTCCGTATTCACTCATAACTGGGCACAGCATGGTCTTCTCAGCAGCTCAGCTGGTGACTAAGTACTTAGTGATGTCGTGATTATTGTGTTGAAAGATTGGTCGAGGAATGATTGGCAGGCATCCCATCTCTGGGTGAAATTGGCTCCTGCTCACGCCCCTCTTGGTCCAGTCGCAAACCCCACCGTCTCCCCCACGCATCCAGACGTTTTCACCCTTTTCTACGGCCGGAGCATCCACACTATACACGGGTGAACTGACTAGACAACCGTTCGGCTACTTTGGTGATGCGGTTTCAGCTGAGTCAAAAACAGCCACGATAGGTTGCATAACGGCATAACGGCATCACGGTGCAAACGGTCCGAATCATGGATCATGCTGCCATGCATGGCCTTGAATCGAGAAAAGCTTCGGTTTCCCTTACCAGTTAGGAGCCCTGGTTCTTGTTGGGTCGGGACTAGTGATCTTCGCGATGCGACACGCCTCGGCACTTTGACCACTTGAGGGAAGGACAATCCTCACTGATCCCTGCTCCTGATCTCTTTATCCGAAACACGAGGGCCAACCGAATCTGAACGCAAGCCAAAGATGAAAAATTTTCCGGATGAGACCTCAAAAGGAGTACTCGGGTACAAGATGATCGGGTTTGGAGAAGAAAAGGGTGACGGCGGCGCGTTCAATTGGTGCGCTGAATTTAGCCACACCTCGATGGCTTCAACTCGACGGCGAGCTCTACCAAGGGAAGACCTCCGATTACGGTTGGGAAGGGCTTTGGTGGACATGGTAGACATGGTGGAAATGTGGACCCATCGGACAAGCTAAGAACGGATCATTGTGGTCTTTGACCATTCTAGTGGTGTCCCAGTGTCCAGTGATGTTGCAGACTGTGGGAACCGACTGACTACTACGCATTCGATTTCACCTCTTTTCCTCCGTGCAAACGCCGAGCGAGGAAGACAAGATACAGTCCAGTGAGTGAAAGGGGTTACTTCAATGTCCTCACACTGTGTGCCGTACAGTAACTTACTCTGCGCCGTATGGGATAGGGAGCAGAGTAAGAGAGCGTGTCCTTGGAATGATGGACAAACCGGTCTGCTGCATGACCTGCAAGGCTGGACTGAGCTGGACAGAACAAACGACGGCGGCTTTGGGCATCGGACTATTTCGCAACCGAGCTTGAGTAGATAAGCTGAGGCCCAGTGGGTGAATAATTTGGCTCAGGTACTGATCGATAACACGAAACCCTCCGTGATGAGTTTTTAGGGTAGACTGCCGATAGAATAGTGGGTGTAAGTGCGGATGTCGCGTAAAGACTCCCAATTTGCAATCGCTGGGCCTCGAGTTTGCCCCAGACTCTCTCACTCTCTCGATCTATTGGAGCCGAAACAGCCCAGTTCAAGATCTTGTTGCGGATAGGGCTTAAAAATCGTCTGCTGACTGCCGGTACTCCGTACCTACTGTTTGATATATGCACTAATTCAGAGACTAGTTGGGCTGTAGCACATAACTGGAGTAAGTAAAGTAGTGAGTAGTTGTCGATGTTCTATTGTCATTCGTCACTGCAGATGTACAGACATCCTTGCATCGAATGCTTGAGCGTCAGGCCCCAATAATCGTCATCTGCATGAGCGGCGAGTATGGTTCGACGTATTTCACCCTTCCCTTTCACCCTTTGGGAGCCTCTGAACTCTGAAGGGTAAATTACGACAATTTGGGGGGGGCCCTCTGGCTTAGCGTGCCGTAGATCCAAGCGGGAGGTGGACCGACCGAGGCCTTTCATTGACTTCAGTTCCGCCTCTATTCCACTTTCCCTTCTTTTCCCCCCCCCCCCCCCCATCATCATCCCCTCTTCAACAACTCCTCTTCTGTTACCTACTTTGCTGTATTCGCCCCATCCCACCTGTTCACCAAAGGAAAATAGTCTGCATATTTTCTCCCATCACCTTATGATCGCCAATATGGATTCCATCATCGACTTGTTGTGATAGTGGCTTACATAACATTCCACATTCAGCAACCTGTTCCCCCTTGCTTTCCTTCCTCTTCTCATACACTCTGCCCCCCCCAAGTACATCGTCGCCGCCTACCTTCCCTTTGCCGTTGGGCCCACGTCGGAACGAACCCTGAACATGTCGAACGTGCTGTCTCGTCAGGTGTCCTATCAATATCTCAAAAACACCCGTGCCTGATGTCCTGGCCTTATTTCTTTGCCCCTCTTTTATCCTAATTACTTCGAAAAAAACATTCCTAGGGCCATATGCAACTTTCATGGCATGTCCCATTGACGATACGATACACCTTGGCTAGCATTGTGATCTTTGGATCAGCCCATTCTTAGGGGCTTCTGCCACGACCACCACCATGGCGACGCAATCATCCTCGAATTCTCGCCCTCACTTTACCAACCCATGGAAGGAAGCACCATCCACGTCTGTGGAGCCTTCCAATCAAACTCCCGATGGCCGCATCGCGCATACATTGACCGCGTGTACCCGGTGCAGACAGGTGCGTGTCTTCCCCCGCTTATCCGCCACCCATACCTTGCGCGATCCTTTTACCTTCGAGAGCAGTTGTATGAACTCCCCGCTGATGCCTTCAAAAGCGGAAATCTAGGTGCGACCCAGGGATACCAAGATGCGCGCCATGCGAGCGCAGCAATGCGAAGTGCGTATATTACGATTCGGCCCGTAAATGTAC